TTGTTTTGTTTTTTTTTTCTTTTTTTTCGGAACATCCAATTTTCGCGTCACAACTATCACAGTACAATATGTTCGATTCAACTACTCTATTGTTTAAAATGTCTAGGTTACCAATGAAAAATAGTGCTCTAAAATACCATGTAAGAAAATAATATCAGACTTACCAAAAAATACTGTTTTGTTTGTTTGTTTGTTTRTTTTAATCCTCCCATTACAAGGAGAGTTGAARTAACTTATATTCTACTGTATATTCTATTGTATACAATATTGCAATTTAGACACCAAATCTAATTAATAAATTGATTAACTTTTCAGAGCTGCTATAGATTTCCTTGAGGATCAATTCAGTCGTCGATCTCCTTATGTAAAAGCTTTGACCAGTAAAGGAACAGTGATGGACACCATTGCATTTCGAAGTGAAGATACATCATCCAGGAAGGTAGTTATCAAACACTAAAAATCTCTTATTACCTTACAAAACCTTACCTTGCCTAGTCCAGGATGCTAGCTCACTATACTGTTTAGTGGTGCATTAGTAATGGATGTTTAACAGGATTTATTGTTGATTGTAGGGCAATAACGATGATGTAATTTTGTCATGCTGTTTGCATTATTGTGAAGAGAACTTTGTGAACAGACTTGCAACTGGTATGTAAAAAAATCTGTTGCAGATCTATTTAATAAGCTTGTCATTGATTCATTTAATTGACAACAAAGGCAGAGGCCAAAAATGTTTTTAGAATTAAATCTCTTCAGGCCGGCATAGAGAGATGGTCCAATAATGCAGTGAGCATATTGTGTAGTGTTGGATAGTCTTCATATTTCATCCAACARCATCTAATATCTCTCCGTAAATGTCCACACACTTCACCAACAATGTTGGATGTTTAAAATAGTCCTCTTCAAGGTTACCTGCGCCATCTTGAAAGGTAGCCGTGACTTTGCATCGAAGCGAGACAACCGTTGAGCGTACAATGATAGAAAGTACCTTTTTCACACCTACAGATAATTGTTCACAGGTATCTATCTTTACACGCTCGACGGTTGTCTCGCTTCTACGTAAAGGCACGGCTACCTTTCAAAATGGCGCGAGAACCGTGAAGGAGACTACTGAAATAGGAATAAATTTAGTTTGACGAAGATATTTTGTTTATTTAGCTGATCAGCCGATCACTATCCGACGTAACGTTGTCCTGTTGACTGATGATCGTAATCTACGGGTTAAGGCCTACACAAGGAATGTTCCTGTTTTGACCGTWCCACAGTTCCGCCAAATGGCTCGTCTGTAAACAAAAACGACGTCACTCAAATATCTATATTGGCCGTCCCGTCATTCCACAGGATYCACATCGTTCGAAAAGAATTAAACTGAAGGTGATTGCCAAARCCAGCATWTTCACTGGAATGAGGTTGAAGTTGTTATTTATGTTGCTGTTGTCAATGATCGTTACCGCAGTAAAAACTACTCAGCGGATTGTTATAAAAGACATGCTACACTAGCCACAAGTTGATCGGCAGATGGAAAGACATGCTACACTAGCCACAAGTTGATCGCCAGATGGAATCCGGCTCTCTCGCAGCGGCCAGGAACGCCCGGCTACGCAGGCTGTGGAAGGCATGCGATCTAGAGTCAGAGGATTCAACTGATAAGCATGTTCATTATTAATCAATATTTGATCTATAGAGTGAAACCCATGGTTTGATTACATAATGGAGTAAGTGGGCTTAGGTGATGGACATACTCAATAAAAAGTGCAGATGGTTTGATACACTGCATTTGGCGTTCCGTCGTATGAAATAGGCATGCGTGTTATACAGTAGACGATGATATCATAACCTCCCTAACCGGGTCAACGGATTGTCGCAAGATCAAAGTCATGCCATTCAAAAACAGGCACAGATATTGACACTCGCTCGACAAAGTTTGATGTTCGCCAAATGGGGGAAGGCCAAGGGGGGGGGCATTGTTTTTTCAGATAAGTGCACTACGCGTTTGTAACCTGCCTTCCACTTGGCTACTTATTTATTGAGTGCTTGGTCAAAGCCAGATACGATTTCTATATCTACATATAAAATAAACTTCACTTTTTGCGGGTTATATTCCCGTTGTAAGAAATACGTGGTCAATTGATCACTGCAAATACGCGACTCTTCAAAATGACATTTTGCTCATCGCCAAAGATGACCTACGTACAGAAACTCGATGTTTATTGGCGTATAACTAGTTAGTCGAAAATGAAACGGTTACGTGTAAAACTTTGTCAATACACCTTTTTCAGTTGCTCTTAGGCCTCGACAGCGTGTTAAATATTCTTTTGAATTTGTAGGAATGTGAGCAATGCAAACATTGATCTGAATAGTCTTAATTAGCAAATTCCAAAGAATTATCGCGGCAAGGTGCAATTGAAAAGGTGTATTGTTTCTTAGTTTCATACAAAGAAAATTACTCATAATTCTATCTACACGCACGGATAGAAATTACATATTGAATAATTTTACAAAATTTGATCGCCAGCCTTCCGTTTATACAATCATTTGGCCATGATGATTGTTTTTTTAATAACTTAATACTTTTAAATGTAACTGCATTCAGTCGTTTCGTATAACGTCTTTAGTGTWCATCAATCATAATACAAGTGGTGTGAT